AAATTAACACCAATCAGATGCAGTCAGCACTTTCAGCAACAGCTTATGGGCATGCCTTTGAATATGCCTGGTTAGGAACACAAAAAGACTTTCCTTCTCCCTGGGCGATACTGGCTTGTCACTGCCGTACGACAGTATTACTCACTGGGTGTGCTGTTATCAAGGCCATGACCCAAAAGAACGCCGAGTATCAGTTTACAGCGCGGAACTTTCACCTACCCCATGCCTGTTGGTTCACCTTCACATGCCACCTCTTGGCACATGTTTTCTGGATCTAAGAGTCCACAGGCAGCTGCTTATTGTGAAAATAATCAATACACCGTAAATGCGGAAACATAATCCATAAATGTTTTTGAGACATTTTCTGCCGACGCTGCTGCTGTGTCTGTAGCCAATTTATTTCTGTTGGCCTTTTACATCTCCTGTTATATGCAGAATGACCTTTGAAAAGAGGAATGTCAAGTTAAAAACATTGATTTTGGTTTTCAATAAACTGAAAAAAATTATTCAACATGCTTTCAAGCAATGCAATCCAAGAATGTACATCATGTATATCACTAAGTTCTGTTTAGTTATGATCAGGAAAAGAATAACGTACTAATACAATGCACTACCTTGCAGAATGTAGAGTTAACGCTTTAACTATTGGTCCTCCAACAAAAATCAGGTTTGAGCAATTCCATCCGAGTCACACTTCTCCTTCCTACCTTTTTAGTTTTATCAGCTATCCTGAATTTGTTTTCAAGAAAAATCTTCTAGGGGAAAAAGGCAAAGGAGTTACCTTTCTTCTCTATTTTTACTACTGTCCTAAAAAGGACAGGTATATTTGAAAAGACTGATGCATGAGACAGAAGTATTTCTCCCTGCCTAACTTCTGCCCCGACTTGCTTTTAACCTCAGTGAAGGAAAAACTCAAAAAACCTCTTCTGCTTGATGATATCCCCACCACCCCTAAAGAAAGGGCCCTGACCATAAAGCTAGAAGAACATCTGAAACCACTGCTACGCACGTAGACTAATTTAGTAATTATAAGCTGACAGAAAAAGAAGAGAATGTCTATACAACATAGCATTTAAGACGTGCTACGTGGAACGATGAGACCTAATCCCTGTTCCATTTAATACAGAAGATTTAAATATTCTCTGGAATAGAAATTAGAAGCCTGGTCTCCTCATGCATAAATAACACTTTCATAGGAGCACTTGATAAAACCCCATTTCCAAAAGGTTTTACCGTTCTGCACTCTCTTGGGAAACACAGAATATGAAACCCTGTTCTCCTGTGCAAAGGAGTGATCGGAACCGCCATGTGGTATCTACATACAGGCAAATAAATTGAAGTAGGGGCCCCAGGACTTCCCCTGGTTGTGTTTTGTCAAAGCAAACTCCAGCCATCAAACAAGCAGGTAAGAGTTCATGAGTGAATCACGACCAGCCAGAGGTACCCAAGTCTGAAGATTAGGTGTAAAACTCAATCCTACATTCAGCCTTGCCTCTTAACTTGAAGGCTCCCTGCTCAATGTCAGCATCTTCTGGACTGGACTTTGAGGCACCGAGCTCGCCTGTAGTTCAATGCATACCCATGCTGGGACACCGGGTTGCTCTAGGCACTCAAAGCTTGGGGTCTGGTGTTCCTACAGCATTTTCTGAAATCAGCCTTCAGTCACTTCTGGAAGGATTCCACATCGCTTAGGAGTTCTACACATTTAAAACCTATTTCAATCCTAAATTCTACTTCTTAGAAGCATTCTAGGTATATGCTGCTCAGGCTTGCCCACAAACAGCAGGAGATTAGGGTGCCCAAACTGGACAGCAATAAAATTATATTGGGCCGCCCCAATCTGTTTCCCCTTTTTTCTAGCTATGCAAGTTTGGGGGGTGGGGAGTAAAATTAATCTTGACACTGTTAAATGAGTTTAAAACAAGATTGGTGAATGCATTCAAAGACAAATGATCCAAATTAAAGCAAAAATCAATCTAGCCCAAAGCAAACTAACAGCCTTCACACAGATTTGTATTCACACATTTATGCAGCACTTAGGTAACTGTCGGACACCATTACTGAAGTTGGTAGGATGTTATGTTTAGAAGAGGCCTTAAGGCGTGGTTTTAAACCAATTTAATTAAAATGGTACAAAAGTTGTGCTCATCCTCTTAGATGCAATTAGTGTTCCAGCTTCATGAATTAGCCAGGTATCAGCTTAGTCACAGTAATTGTGCGTGCAAGCCTAAACCTGTGGCTAAAATCAGGCACAGTGTGATTAATCCCAGGGAAATCTGGCAAGAAATGGGCATGTTTATTATCTGCTTTTAAACCCATCTCCTACTAATAGTTAAATTTACTTTCAGTAGGTACAGTGCACGATCCTATTAATTCTAACTAAGGGAAATGGAATCTGAAACTCTTTGCATCAGTGGGTACCCAGTCTTGTGATAGTGTTTCAGGCAACTTTCGTAATATATGGCGATAGAAATTCCCAGATGATTAACTAGATATGACATTTGTCTTAATTTATAGGAAGGACCTAATAAAAACAACCAACCACAAGTTTGGTGAATGTGTTGTGTGTTCAGCATGTAAGCAGAATCCGCCCCTAACAGATTACACTGAAATCAACAAGCCTGTAGAGACTGATGTTTCCATTTGCAGTTTCCAATTAAAACATGCATTATTTATAGCAGTAGAACCTTCGCCTGAATATAACACGACAAAGTCCTTTGTCAACTCTGTTACAGCCCCTAACCCATGCTGAGGCTGCACTTTGTGGAACTACTGCTCTATGAAACATCTTTCCTGACAGCAAAAGGAAGCAAGAAGGAAACGGAATGCAAGGGACAGTTTGTTCAAGAGGAAGCACAGTTCATTTAACAGCTTTGTAACAGTCACACAGAAAACTTACCTGTTTCCCCTCAGACTTGCCTAAGTTGACACTCAAAACACCACAGGCATACCACCTATGTTTACTGGTTCACACAGAAAGAAAACAAAGCATACTGACACAGATATTCCTAGGAAAATTACGCTTGGAGCCAGCAGCAGACTCTGAAGACTTGTAATATATGTGACAGTTGAACAAGAAACTAATTCTCTACTGATCTAACTATATTTAAAATATTTTATATTAATAAATTATAGTTTTAAATGATAACCACTTTAGGCTTCCATTAATAGCTACTCCTGAACGATCAGGGTGTGTGGACTTTTGATAAAAGGCTAGCATTCCAAGATGTCTTACACGACAAACAAGAAACAGGTCAAGATTATTACTTTCTGTATCTAAATTTTGTCCTGTTTCTAGAGAGCAAGGAAGTATTTCTGATAGACCGTGTCATATTCATATTGCAAGATCACTCACAAGGACATACCAAAACCCTTCACTTTACTGCAGAGTAACTGTACTGCCTGAGGCTAGTATAAAGAACAGATTAGAATTTGGCTCTATAAATCATACCTTATACGTACAAAAACTGCTATCAGCAGTCAGTCTTTTCAGTAAACTAGCTCATGCTGAATACTTCTGCCCACTTACAATAGGCTAATAAATATGTAAAAAAGAAATAAAGTACTTATTTTATATTCAAGATCCCATTCCTAATTAACTTATCAGGCCTATTATACAGCCTGCACTAACAACAGTGGGGAAAAAAAAAACCCCAGCACATTAAAAATTCTAGTGGGCATACAACTGCACCATGCTACGCCTGCAGCTCTGCTACTCCAAGGTGTACTCTTGCCTGTTCTCAAATGCTAAGGTTGAGCTTGGTGCTTATATGAAAGACGTGAAAACAGGACAGAATGCTGCCAGAAGTAATCTCTCGTAATTACTAGTAATTTAGTAAGTGGTATAGACCATCCTTCACAACATTACTGAATAAATTCTGTAAAATAGTAGATACTAGATTGCTTACACCACAATTGTCAAGGTGACATCAAAATGAAAGCTCAGTTCACTTACCAATTATTAGAATTCCCCTTGCGCTTTTTGCAAGATTGGAACTGTTGATCTGAGTTTTGGCTAAATTCCAGTTTGGTTAATTAAATTCCACATATCTACATCCCCTCCGCAGTTCACATCTTTTGCTACCACTAAATGCTATTAAAAAACCAACATGTTAAGTCAACGTCCTCTGGGCCTGACATCAACAAGGACCAAAATATTTCCCCAATGCAAAGTTAGTGGAAAGCTGCTGGAATCCTTCGGAGTAAAGCAGTGCTGTTGTCGTAAGTGAGTACTTACCATTCAAGCAATCTCAAGTTAAAGAACCATCAGACTGTTGTACAAACAAGCTAAAATGCTGCAATGTAAATTGTATTAAGGAAAGAAAATATTTCCCATTAGTAATTACGTATGTGCTCAGTTGCAAATGTCCAACTATTATACTTCCAGATGACGAGGAACCAAGCGTTTACATTTGGTATGCGTTTCCAGCCTTTCCTGTTCCAACTTCCAAGAGGAAGATGAAGTCTGTGATGCTCATCAGTTTCTAACAGTATTAGCATTTTCTTCTCTGAAAAAAGTTTCTCTTTAATTCTTTAATGAAGATCCAACCTACAGTTTGCCAGTAGCTACTCTCCACATAACTCTTCTACTAACATTTTCCTGTAAATCAAGAAATCTAAAACTCACCTGAAGGGAAACTTTTATCCTGTTGAAATAGTATATTCTTTACAACTGTGTTTAAGGGAACAGTGTAGGCACACTTCAGTCACTATTTGTTTCTGTCTGGTAGGAAGCTGTGATGTTAGGTTTTTTATTTTTAGCAAGAGTTACATTTCCTGAGTAACATTCATAGCTAATAACAGACTCCACAAAACCACCATAGTCAAAGAATAAATGTGGAGTCTTAGAGTAAAACCAGTCCTCTAAGCCTAAAATTAGAAAGCATTCCATTCTTCTAATTTAATCTTTTTTTAAAGTGAGCAATTTCTATTTGGCTAAATAAGGTACAGATGTATTTAGTCACTGAATTTTCAAGTCAAGTTTATTTGATATCATATTTCAATAGTTTCTATTTTTACTTCAACACTGGATTAGCTTATGATAATAGACACATTCTGTTATACAAAATAACCATGAAGAAATTTAATGGATTTTTTTTACCATATTATGAGTGTTACACCATCAGTAGATTTTCTTGAATCATTTACTGTTTTATATAGGGACCTGTATTAAAAATGAAAGGTGTAGTATAGAAACCACCTGCAGGGTTCACTGTCAGCTATGGTACATTTCAACAGATTCTGCCTTGAAACGTCAAACTCTTCATTTGTAAGTAAGCGGACTATATCAGCAAGAGGTAACCACAACAAAAATCAACATGTCCACCCCTGACGCAACATAAATCTCCACGCTCCTCTCAGCACATTGGAGTTACCACCTCTACAATAACGCACGCCAAGCTTTTTGGGAAGACCATCCTAAGTGCTTCCAATTGTCACATAAGGACCTCTTCTTCTCTTCTTCCCTGGCTTTCAGCACAAAAGTTCGACAATGCCAACAGCTTCTTTATTTGCCGGGATGCTCTGGTGGAATTTTAAGCGTGAAGAACCTAATGTTCCACAGAAGTGATTTGAGGGTAAAGGTGGGCTGGGAACTGGTTAATGAGGTTCCTGAACCCAGGTGATATTTCTTAACGTGTTTTCGGAGAAGTTGTTTGTCAGGGGAAGAATAGCAGCAAAAACTATGGCCAAATGCCTCACCAGTGTGATGTCGGCATATGTGAAGGTCGAAGCTCTTCTTCCGAATGCTGTAAAAAAATTAAAAATGTATCAGGCATTAGTACCATCAGTAGCAGTGAGCACTGCACAAACACAGGCAGCCAGCCTCTAGCTGGAATGTTCACAAATCCGAAATAGCCAAACAGTAGGTCAGGGGATAAGTCATCCCTAGCAAGATCTCATAGCTCTGTCCAGTGGCAGGGCTAGAACAGAACACTTGTTTTTTTTCCTACCACTGGAGTAAGTTAGTGGAGTTTGCACCATGTTTTCAGCAATATTTCTATTTTAGTGTCAGTTGTGCACCTGTGGATATATCTGTTCTTTGAAAATAAAACCTCTGTACAGGCATTAAAAAATCTAAACTCTTACAAGCACATGTCCCAATTTACTTTTTACGCATTTACAACCTTAGGGTACAATTGCACCAGCATGCAGCCACACACACCACAGATGCACACATTTGCATGTGCATGTGAATCTGCATGTAATTCCAGCTCAGCATAGTGAAAACTGCAAACCACTCTGAATATACTGAAAAATTTTGACCTTGCATTTGTCACTTCATTCTACCTATTTTGCATTATGACAAAGGGATACATCTCAAAATGAAGAACTTAGCCATAACACAAATACTGTCAAGGATTCATTCTATATTAAAATATGATGTCTGCTACATACTTACTATGGGTCTAAGCCCTGCCCCGAGACAGTGGAATTATCATCTGGTCCTAATCAAAACCTCAGTTCTTTCAGATTCAGGGAATACCAAATATAGGATCTAAACCTTTGGGTTTTGGCACTTCCCCTGAACAAGGCCAACTTAGAATACAACTGCATAGAGGCTGTAAGAGAATCCAGATTGAGACTTGCGGGTTAGTCTCAGCACTTGTTACCTAACCTCAATCAGGTTTCAAAACTTACCAATTTGTAATGCAAGCTCCTCTGAATTTAAGGTTTCCCTTAAACAGACATTGAGGATCTGTTTATTTTGGCAACAACTATTTGCAGCCCTATGAGCTAGGAAAATTAAAACAATCACCTACAGTAGGATTCATCCTACATAATGTTAGCCAACAGGCGTATTACCTTCTAGATTTCCTCTGTAAAGTCACCTGTTGGCAGGCAGTAAGTAACCCTAACAGGTGCAAATTAGCCCACACATTTAAGTAATGTCTCATATGAAATTAAGATGTCTTGTGGGAATGCCCATCATTCTCCATTGAGTACAGAAGGGGATCCACAGAGAGGTCAGATTAAACAACCGACTAAGTTGGCTAAAATTAATTCTTGGACTCAGTAATGTATACACCATACCAGTTTAAAAACCTCTTGGCTGATGCTGCAAATATTTACAGGTTTTCTACATTCAGGGTTGGGGTACTTAGGTGATGGTGTTATTTATATGAATGCAACAAGCAAAAGACTGGACTTAAAGTATGCTTAATCAGGTAAGTATACCTTAACCCTCCTTTCCACTCACACCTAACAAAAAAAGTAATTGGTTGACCTGGCATGTGAGAAAATATTTTACTACACAGGCATAGAAAAACTTGGGGTTTCAAGCTAAGATTTACACAAAAGATGAAATATTTTCCCATACATTCTTATTAAAGCAGCTCAGAACTCTTTAAATCCCTATCTGTATCATCATCAGGAACACACAACATTGAGGAAATGCTCTTGCAGTCTTTTACAGCAAAACTACCAAAAACGTGAACCTGTCGGATTCTGTGCCATCAGAAGCAGTTATCTGACTCTTCACAGTCGCTAAGCAAGGCAGGTATCTCAAGCAAATTTACATCTCTCTTTCTATATAGCTCTGAGCTCCTGATATGACAAAAGCCTTAAAGTAAAGGGACTCTACATGTTGTAAACAGCCCAGTTACACACACATAAACATGTATACATAACGAAGTCAAGACTTAAAATGTGTATGTATGTGTATCAATACACACAGAGATGCACTTTAAAATTAAATGCACTGTAATCCTGAATTTTGATGAGCAGTTGCCGCTGCAGATTTCACTATCTTATTTTTCATTCAATGTCTCTGCTAAACTCAAAGCACAAATAATCTTAATGGGTGAGAGCTTGAATAATGAAACTCTTTTCTAGTTGAGTATCAGTAAACAGTATATATTAATTCACAAACTAAATCAGAATACTGGAAAAGTTTAGAGATAACACTTTTCTGTGTATTTCATCACTGCAGTTACGCCATCCTTAGTCTGGCTTACACTCAGATCTGCATGCTCATGTGTGACTTCTACCCTTTTACACCTCACTTTTGAATACAGCCCACTGAATCAGTCAATGGGTTCTGTGTGGGTGTAAAGTATATGCTTGGGGACTGGAAAAGGGTTGGGTTTGCTTGGGTTTTTGGTTTGGGTTTTTTTCTTTCTTTCTTCCTTCTTTTGTATTCCTACATTTTGTTGTATTTTTGATACAATTTCAGAAATAGAGGGTGTTATGTTCTAGTGTGCTTAAAAAATCTTAAAGACTATTACAGATCTGAAATAGATTACTTAAGAAAAAAACCCCAACCTTACTGTATTTACCCGATTCAGGCAAACTGTTTCACAAGTGGCAATTTCAAACATCCAAACTATTTAGGTCTGGAACACTATGCAGGCATTTGCAGTTACTGCTCTGCAGACAGGAACTGAACATTTTTTTAAGAATAAATTTTACATACAAGGAAAGAATACATCCAGACAGTGTTATCATTTACTCTTACAGACTCTGGTTAAAACATTCACTTCCTCATCTCATAGACTCTCATTATATAATAAGTTTTTAACTTACTAAAGAACAATCCTATTAACTTCAAATGGAACTAGTTCCACAGCAAAAGTTAAGCATGCAAGTGTTTATATTATGACGGCTAATGTGCAGCTAACAGGGCAAACTAGGCTGGTGGAAGGAGGCACATTGTTAATTTGCAAGCAACAAAATCTTTGATCCCTGTAAGTAGGACTGACCTATTACAAATAAATGAAAAAGTATATGCTTGTAGAGTAATACTGCAAAAAGAGACGAAATACTACGACAGGTATTACAGGATGGTTTATTAAAAAAAAAAAGATTTTTAGTAGTACAGGATTAAATGACAGTCCCCTGTCACGCTTAGCTTTAGTTATAGTATCCTATAACTAAAGCTCATCTGATAGGAGAGGAAACTGGATTTCTTGTGCTTACTACAGTAATGCATAAAGAGTAATAGGTTACCAGTGTTCCGTTCTATAGTCTGGAGTTCACCACTACCGTTCCCCTCAAATTTTCTGCTATTTTCTGCTACTCGTGTTTACAATTCTGCATTTTTACACAGCTGCCACAAAAATTAGGAAGAAGCCTTTTTCCCTGTTATTCCATTACCAGATACTGAAAAGCTCTTGGTGAAGAAGGCACTTACTTTAAGCTCAAGGTATCTTATCACTTTTGATAGATGCATTTCCAGATTTTAATTCTGGCATCAAAAGACTCTCCAGAAGGAGCACTAGTTTTGTAATCAGAATTACCTTTATTATGACAGATAAAGAAACAGAGTAAATTAAGCTTTCCCCCAGGTAAGTAACAAACAAAAACTAATCAAGCCATCTCTCCACCAATCACTGCATACCTCAAGAAAGTGACTTGTGGACATTAGCTTATCTTGGTTTAAACCTTTTGAGTTTTTAAAAAAACAAAGCAAACAGTACATCATTTAGTGTACAGAGTTTAAACATACAAGAATTTAGCAGTTAAACAGCTTCTAAGGCTGCTAAGTACATACTTTCAACATGTACTTAGGCTTTACTAAAACTAGCTAATGCTCCCACTCATCACATGAGGCACTCTGCCAGCGCTGCAAAATGAAATGTGTTAGCACCCTCAGAAACGTGATCATTTCCTCAATCGGTGGGGGCGGGAGGGTGGAATCAAAACACTACAAGCAAAGCTGGAGACAAAATCAGTGTGAAAAAGCAGCATGGTGCACCTAATACAGCAAATTAAGACATACAGTTAGTGAATCAACGCATTTTTGTTTTTATACAAGTCACTTGTCCCAGCACCTCTTCACACACACACAGATACTATCACCACCTTCTACAGGATATTTTTGTATTTATCACATTAGTGTTCCATACTTCTGCCAGCACAGTCTATGCAGTAGTTATATACAGAAAGAGCTGTAAAGAGGGGACGGAAAGCAATCTCTTTAAACAAAAAAGCCTTCATAGAGCCAAGCTCCCAACAGGAATATACTTAAATGATTGGCTTGGCTTTTATTAATGGGTAGGAGCACATACCTTAAAGTGTGGGGTTTTGTTGTTGTTTTTTTTTTTTTTAAAAGCCAAAAGATTTACAGGATTTGTCCAACAGAGGGATTATTTACACTTACCAACTATATGAACAGAGTCAACATTTGTAGGGCCTCTCACTAGCGCATGCTGGGAAGTGCTGCTGCAGAGACCTTGCATCAATGGAGGCGTAAGAGCAGATCTCACATTTGAAAGGCTTCTCACCTACCAGGAAATGGAAAGCAAATACGAAGGATGCAGTATCTTCTATGGGAACACAAAGTCTGTGTGGGAAATTCAAAAGAATGTCAGTGGATTAGCATTTACATCCTCAAAGCCACAGCTCATCTTTCACATGATCTTGTTGCTAATGAAGCATGATCTTAGATAATGGTCTAGACAGCTAAAGGTTACAGTCTGTTTTACCTGTAGGAGACCTACTGCATCTAAATTTGGCTTCCACCAGAAGTCCAATCAAGAAAAACTGGCCAGAATGATTTCCAAATTTAGTTTTGATCTTTTTTTCTGAATCAAAGTTCAGAGGGCCAACTCTCAGAGTACTCTATGTCACCAATTAAAAACAAACAACTCAGAAAGGGGAAATGTAGCAGAACGAAAGGGAAACTTTCAAGAAGCAAAAGGAAATGACATTAAGGGAAAGTAATTTTAACTTAATGAAGAAAACACACAAAGAATTTTCTATAAAGACAACAAGGACAACATTTAGGTCACGAATACAAAGGAAAACAATGACTTTCAATAACAAAACCATTGAGAGGTACTTTCTTAAAGGACTAGCCTCCCCTTTCATCTACATTCCCACTGACAATTTCTAATTTATAATATTTATCTTCATGTTTTTCTGATGTACTAAAATTCTGAAATATTAGCCTTACAGTGAAGAACCTGAAACAAACCTAACCAGAAACCACTGACTAAAAAAAAAAAAACAAAAAAAAAAAAACGAAACAGAATCACAGAACGGTCAAGGTTGAATGGAATCTCTGGAGGTCATTTGGTCCAACCCCCAAATAGGCAAACCTATTTTCATTTTGGCAGCCAAAAATCAAAACACAAACCAAACAAATAAATACATTTGAGTTAAAAAAGAATGAAAAGTGAACATATTTTAAGAATCTAAGTCCTAACACCAACCCTCGTATAGTAATAATTCTCCTCAAGACAGCATTTCACACCAACGTCATTACAAGTAACTCTCCAGCTCCAGTTTTATTAGTGTTATCTTTTAAGAATTAATGCAGGTGATATCACATTGCGTGATCACTGCATAGTCAGCATGATGTGGAAATCAAAGCATTTTTTTGTGTTTACCCCCAGCTGTCAATGGGGAAGCAAACAGGAAGAAGCTGATGACATTTTCAGGAGCAGTTGTCAATGGCTTGATATCTAGATAATAAATTACATTTTCATAGCTAATAAGCACCTTCCTAAAACTCACTAAATATGTTTGCTGTAGGTTACATAACAGGTCAGCTGCAGAACAAGGAATAGGAGACAGTTCTGGATTTGCAATCCTTCTTCTAGACAGTGACTTATTTTGTTCATTTTTTGCAAAAGTTTAATTTATTTTGCATGGTTTTGGTCACTTGTCTACTTATGCGCCTGAATATCAGTAACAGTGCCTGGCCACACTGCCTAGCCAGCCTCCTAGGAGAAGTCGGTTATCTCTTCTTTGGGTATCACCCTCCTTTTCCTGTACCTTTTGAAGCCCTGTCAGTTGCCTTCTACAGAAGCTAAGAATGTTTAATAGAGCAAATGTCTGTCTTTGAAGACATGGCATACTTGCCACCACAGAGATTGAGAGCCATCTGTCCCAGTAGCACGAGACGTCTATCAGCCCCCTTCACACCTATGCTTCCTGCCAGACATCTGCCTACTCTCCTCCACTGCTGTGGGTGACGCCATGGCTCCAACGCTGCGGGATGGAGCACCACCCACGTCGCTCAAGCGTCGGAGCGCTGCACGCCTGCCAAACCACTGCAAGAGTATTCCGTTTCTCCAACTCGCTGAAAAGTTAATTTTGCCAGTGTGGACACAGGCGGATATTCCCTATTCACTACGCTGCCAGGTCCTATAGGACGAGTTCTCCGCAAGCTGATTTATTTAAATATTATCACAAGCAGCTAATTGGCTCCCCACTGTCCTGTCCACCCACTCACTGCACACATCAAGTGGCAGGTTTCAGAAGGCCATTAATGCAACATAGCACGTTCCCATCCTATTCATTCAGTTAAACTTATTTTCTAATCCTGTAAAATGCTCGGTTCAGAAAAAAGGAGAAAGGCTTCACTTTTTAAATACCAACAAGATGGAACAGATCCAACAGTTCCAGGCAGAGAGTGATACAAAGTACCTTCTTCTGTGTAAATTCAGAATTTCTAATGCAAGTGCCTTTTTTGGCAGCCTGATTGACTTAATATAACCATGGCAACGCAAAGTCTATGTAAACAAATCACTTGACCAAGACAGAAAGAACCCCAGAGCATCAGTCACAGAGAGGCTGGGCCTTTGATAGAGGTTCAACATTAAACTTTAAAACAGAAAACTGAAGCAGGAAGCTTTCCAGAAAATGAAAGGGAATGTAGCCAAGGTGGACAAACAACAATCTCTTATATTAAAAATCCTGAAGTATGCCAATATGTGCAAGTTGATTTAAAAAGTTTTGAGCAGACGTTCCCATTCTTTCCTGGCCATGGAGTACCAGTACAGAACAAAAATTTATGAACTGGTTGAAGTCCATATCCATCTGAACTAGCAAAGGCATGCTTCTCAGTTAATGAGCCAGGGTCATAAGCTGTCCTTGTCTTTGCAGTATGTATACCTTTACATAGGTGTCTTCTGAATATAGATCCTAAACCAGGATTTCTGTAAATATACCCATATTCAGGAAGGCAAATCAAACATATCCTTAAAGATCAATATCCCTCAATGTCACAAAAAACATTTAAGTTAAAAATTTGCCTGTTTTGTTAAATCAGGATCAGAGTGTTTGGTTTTTGCACATTCATCGCAAGAGGGAGAACTACCAGTAGGTAAAAAAATACCCCTTTTCTCTGAAAGTCCTTTTCACAGCACTAAAGAAGCACTCCTACACAGCATTCAATATTCAACCGTAACAGTACCTTTTTTTTTCCTCCCTAAGCAGTTTATCTAAGTGGTAACACAAAGATGACATACATATAATCCACCTGTATGCATTAACATATGCTGTGTCAGAGAGGCCTTGAGCCTTGTTTTGCATTCGCAGTGCTGGCAGTGAAAGGCTTTGATGCCAGCATGTGTTCTCATGTGTTTCTGCAGAGCTAACTATAAGAAGGCTTCCTGTCAGAAAGGAAACGAACCTTGTCACAGCTGGAAAATCATCATCTATTCTTCCTGTGTAAGTGGTCTGAAGGGATGACATTTCTCAGTTACTGTGTTAATTTAGGCTTTTAATGCCTTTTATCATGACTGTTTAAAGCTATTAGTTAGGAAAGACTGACATCATTATGGGAGGGATGAGAGCACAAAGATTCCTATCAGACCCATCTACAACCAAGTACTTCAGTTATTATTTTATTATCTTTCAACTATTTATTTATATTCCCAGAATGACATACTTCGTTGTGTTGAGTAATTTACTAGCAGCCAATGCTGCGTAATGCAACATGATTATATTGGATTGTTGTATTTTGATGTTTGAATGGTCCACCTAAGTCTTCTAGAATTTGTCTGGATGAAAAAGACAGATTCTACTTTCTCAATTGCATGACGTGCTACTCTTTCAGGCCAGCAAGTGGAATTTATTTAGAAGGAAGAATAATGCATATGAAAATTATACATGTGCTTGTATACAAAGAGAGGATTCCTAGGGAACAAAATTGTAAAACATTTGAAAAGGCCTACACAGATCACAGATCTGCTGTTCCAAATTCCTTGATTTTCCAGATTCTTACCCACACCACGCTTAGGATACCTCAAAACCATTTAACTCTATGCCTTAAGCACTTAAAGTTCCTCAAAACTCAGCAACAACAGGTATACAACCAGTGCTTCCTAAATTCACAAACAAGTCTATAATGCTGTAAAGTCACATCTGTAACACACAATCATTTCAAAGGGAGATATATAAGCAAAGAACAACTTTAAAATCCTTGTCCTGTGGAAGTCAACTATAGCAGGTTTAAAAGGTGCTTACCTCTCTATCCAGATTATTGATCAGCACTCAGCAAAAGGAAACAATGTCCTTTCGAATCGTATCTGTAAATAATTAATTACTAAGTAAATACTATTTCCAAATACACACACTACATTCACATGTTAGATGTAATAAACAGGCTTACTCATTCTTTAAACACTCTAATGAAGACATAGCTATTTTCATGACACATTTGCGAAGGTAACTAAAGTCCTACTATTTTGAAAACAAAGTATTTTAGAAAAAAACAAAATTAGTTTATATTCTACTCAAGACTTCTACTGGTAAGAGTATTCCTGCTAATTCTGAATTAAGAGTGAATCATACATGTGTTATTTTATGCAACAGTATTCAAAACAAGAAAGATGCAAAAGAGGATTTAATCCTCAGTTATTTGTGTGGATTAACACTTTCTTGCACCAGAGAAATAAAGCTTACATTGCTCAAAGAATAAAAGCCCTTAACTTGCACGAGGGAACTTAAGTACTCAGGGGAGCTGTTGAAGTATTCGATGCATAGAAGGTGTGAAAGCCTATATGGAAAAATCTGGGATTTAAACAGCAGGCTTCAAAATGAAAGCCAACTCTGAAAAGCAAGCTGTGCCATTCTGAATAACTCTTTGTATTAATTTTTCTCCTCTTCCCTAAACATTTGCGGTCTTTCAAAAGGGAAAACCATCACAAAAAAAATTTGTCAAAGATCTAGATTCTAAACTCCTACAGGACAGACAGAACATTTTTAGAGTTATGAAGCAGAGACCAAAAAAGCAGGGGCTAATTTCTGCAATATCTTTGTGGATCCAATAGAAGTACAGTAGTTCAAAGGTATAACATGTCAATTCACAAACTAGGAAAATGTTCTTCGTTACCATTTCTACTCATGGAAATCAGAATTAAAACCGTACTTTTTATACATTTAAAGAACATGTCTTTCACAATGACATAACAGAACAACCTCTCTTTGTTAGGGGATTAAATGCTTTGTAGAAAAGTAGAGCTATTTGGATTTTCTAGCTATTTGAATTACTCCTTAAGAAACATGTAAGCATAGCCGCCTATTTCCAGCACATGTAATAGCTTTAAATGCAGATTTCAGAATTCTGATAATATTGCGGACAGTGCCTATCTTATGCAGCACTTGTGGTGCAAACTCCCCACAAATACTGACACCTTTTTTTTTCTTTAAGGAGAAAAGAAGGACGACACTGTTACTAGGAGTGTTGGTTCAATCTTCTAAGTTAAGGAGCGAAAGTCCAAAGGAACCTGGAATTGTAATATGGATGATTTAATCTTTCATCCTTCAGCTGTAAATAAGGTGTGTTTGAGACAGTGGGAAATTCCAACCCATAGAGACCAAAGGGTCTTGAGTACTCTTGATCAAGTTTCAGGCTCCATAAAGGTCCCACATGCATTATAACACAAGATTTTAATGAAACAGTCAGGCAAGATTATCAATAAATCTGCCGTGTTAGGAATCAGTTTCGTTCTTCCCAGTTAGCTTTTGAACACCAATTACAGGCAGCTGGTCTTCACAGATGCCACTATGATTTTCACTTCTTTATATAAACTATTGGATAAAACTCAGCAGCTGAAAAGGTTAGACTGCCCTCTCTCTGTAGCTCCTTGCTAACTACTTGATCTGTAACTTAAACAGAATTATGGCCACACGCTTTCAAGAAATTCACAATGGTAGGTATTAATCACCATTTTCCCATATAGTCATTAAAAAAACCCCAATACTCCAAATCAGTAATATGGTACACCTCCATAAAGTTTTAGATGATAAAACTGTACTTCGTGGCTGAAATAAGACAATAAAATTTGGTTATATTCTTTAGTATCACTAGTATTCCCTGCGATTGAGGCCTTTAACTCGCATGCACTGTCAGCAGAATGCACAACCCATCCCTGTACATGAATGTATTAATACGTGAATTAAAAGCATTGATATATCTAGTGTATTCTGTTTTATTTTCTGACGGGAGAAAAATGGCCAAGAGAACATTATTTTTAATTGTAATATTACATTAATTTAACTTGAAATATAGAAAAATAAGTATTTGAAAGACATAAGCAAGACTCAGGTGACATTAACTAATAACATCATGGGGTTCGGTTGTTCGGCTATTTTATCCTTTAAAATATACACGCACCTAATGCCATACTCATAAAAATCTTAAACCTTCATATAGAACTGCCTTTTTCATAAACTTGAAAGAGATTTTACTAAATAAATTCTACTGCCTAATACCGAAAAGAATGAAGACTTCCAGTTCATACATTCCAGCTATCCTTGTAGCAAATAAATTCGGTAGAAATCATCATTTTAAACTCTAACATCAGTAGGTAGTCTGCAGTGATGTTTACAGGCAAGGAGGAACACTGAAAAAGCATTTGAAAAGTAAAAGTCAGTGTGATGTTGTTCATTTGCTGCCCCCTTCTGGGGAAAAACAAAACAAAAAAAGCACCACAAAACAGCCGGGAGAACAGACACTCCCTGCATACCCTTAACCAACACTTCTCTGATAACTCAACCTTTTGACAGCAGATCTTTTTCAGTTTAAAAGCTTTTTATTTTAAGTTTTAACTTTAAAGTATCAATAGACCCTAAAATATATTTCCCAAATGAGTCTTAATCTAGGCAGAATGAGACACGATTCCGGGAAGAAGAGAAAATGAGGCTACTTGCTTTGGCACTCGAGCTCTGCGTAGCAGCACTGGCTGCGCACTCCGAATCGCAGCCAGCACAGCAGCATTACCTTCATGCCATTCCGCCATCAGCTATTCAACCTAAGCTGCGGGACACAAAACTGAACTGGCCGCGATTTGCAACAGATTCTCTTCTGCCATGGGGTCAGGGCCGTTGGTGGAAAGAAGAGACAGCCACAGGCTGGTAATATGGCTAATTGCTAGTTTTGTTAGTTTGCCCTTCAAAGGGGCTGTAAGAAAGAAACAGCGTTAACATGAAGTTTGCTTTGCTGTACAGATAGCAGAGCAAAACTCAAGTCAGAACTAGGATGAAAAAAGTTCAAGTAAGTTCTTAACCTTTGCAGTAATTACAAACATCGTTCCAGGGAGAGCTCCAGAGACCCAGTCTGTAAATGCTCTTTTTACTTCCAAAACAGAGAGGTAATGCGTTCATCAGATAATGACACATTTCATACGTAACCTCAGACTAAATTTGGATTGCCATACTCCACTGGTTCAAAAATAACTGTTGTAATGACATAATGATGCAAAGTGCTTAACCTTATACTTCTCCAAGTTCTTTAAAACCGAGACAAATCATTTCAAAATACCTCACCGTGAACATGGGAACAACTTGTCTACCTGCTTTGTGAATTTGTAGTGACTGAACTGTGCTTTGACTATGACAAGGCTTGTTAACTGACAATTAAAAAAGAAAAAAAGAAAAAAAAAAGACCAATGCCTATGTGAAAGGTACATCATCAGCACGTCAGTCTACTCTCTACCTACTAGCAAAGCTGCTAGTTCACTACAAGTAATCAGGCCTTTGACTATCCGAACATAAATTCCTTTTTTTCTTTCTTTTTATTACACCAATTTCAACAAGCTACTAAAACATGCATTTATTTATTCCTACATGAGCAGTAACTACTTCAAACCAGGAAATCCGGATTCGGTATAGACAATTACTTCAGTCCTAGAAAACAGTGGGGTAAAGAAGCTATTTGGGGAAAAAACTTTGACAGTTTGAATTAATTAGATTATAATACACAACTTTAAAAGTCAGAAAGTGATTTCTCTAATTAAACTGAAGGTGTCTATTGTGAAAATATTTTCTAATAATGTAATAGACATACGTATGGCCATAGACAACAGCAACAAAAAAAAGAACATCCCCAAAACCAAACTCACATACTTGGAAGAAACATAGAGAAACAGAATGTACACTAACTTCTCTACCTAAATACTAGAAAAGCTATTATTAGAATATCACATGATGTCAACTCGTGGATGGGTGGCTACCAGAGATCACTATCATCTTTATCAAAGAAAAAAAGATCTTTTCTCAATAACAGGAAAGCATCAAATGCCTTCTCAGGTTCTCTTTGGAAGAGAGGACGCACTTGAGGTCAGACAAAGTCTTAGTGTTAACTCTTAGAACTGCAGATAAGTGGAATTTTGCGTTAACTGATAAAATTGGTGCTTCAATAAATATGCCTCTTAGAAACGCAGCCACGACTGCAAAGGAAGCTGTACACTGTCACTGTTTCTTCATCTGTTTACGCGCAGAATTCCAAAAAGTCTCACAGCACATCTCTCGGCTCTTCAAAGAGCACATCTCAGTGGCTCTCCTTTGTTATTGCTTGTAACAAAACGTAAGAGAAAAACCTTTAGAAACACCTTTTGATCAGCACCTGCTTACTTTATTCAGAAGACTGGTACTATCACAAACCAAGTAGAAGACAGCTATTTGAATAGGGTACCTTATTTTTGTTCAGGCTATCCGTGGGCAACTTTCTTGTAAAAATAGGTAAGTAGATAAAGAAGTGTGCCACATTATCAATTGTTCTGTAATGAAGATCTACAGAAGTACTTGGAGCATAACAAACAAAATGGAAGTTTTGCTGTAGTATGGGTCATACCTACCGTTGGTACTACATGCAAATTAACTTGAATCCTTCTTTCTAGTTGCTTTTGTGTTAGAGCACACAGGATTATCTTCAGCCTTCTTTCGTCTTTCATTTGTTTTTCATTTCTTTTTTTTTCCTCATGGATTCATTTGTTATGTCCATTCATCTGACATCTGGTTTTGAGCACCTGATCCCAAAATGAAGACAGAAGGGCTGTAGAAATTCTGTGATTTTCCATATGCTCTTTCAACTCTGCTCTAGATTGCCAATTAAGAAATAAGTAAACTAATTCAAAAAGAAACCCAAAATACGGTATCAACCAATATTTTACATTACCGTCAGTGACTGAAAAGACTTAAGAATTTGAGGTAAGATACTTTCATGTGAAAGACAAAGTTGTAGAGGGACTTTTGCGATCGTGTAACCCTCATAATTCAGTCCACTAACAGAGGAGAAAAACTTTGCCGATCATTCTGTGTTACATTTGTGAAACACACACACACAAAGGGAAAAAAAAAGCTTCTCAAAAAAAGCTAGACAAGCCATTTGTTTGGGGTTTTTTGGTTTTGGTTTTTTGTTTGTTTGTTTTTTTAAACTGTAGGGCAGAATTAGATCCAAGTTGTTAAATATAGGTAATGTTGAGGAAAGAACTGTTCTATTTTACTTTTGCACATATTATAAATATAATGAATAGGCAGATGACTTACAGCAATGTTTAACTGCCATTCACACCCACCCCAGAAGTACAGATTATCATTCTTGGATGCACATTTTCATTACAAAATTGCTGCAGCGCTGCTCAGCACAAAGAGAAAAACAAAGTGAAATAAGCACAAATTATAATGATAAAAATGATAGCATTTGGAAAGTCACTACTGTGTGTGACACACCACCACAATAAATATCCCTGTTTTTTGAAAGTGACAAAGCAGGAAGGAGAACCGTGACTTTTGGGACTCTCATTTGACCTGATTCCCTTGGGTTTACCAGATTACAATGTATTTATCATACGAAAGCTTTATCTAACAATGCACATTTTAAATAGTTGTATTTTCTAAGTTTCCTCAGCTAAACTTCCAACAATCATTACACACGTAGATAATGAACAAGCAACATATTTACATAATATAACTATTATGTTGCAAGGAACTGATTTATTTTTATGCTAGGAAAATCCAAATATTAAGTTTCCTTTCTTATACTGTTGTTAAAACAGCATAAAATTCTAATTACATTGTTAAGACTAATATCAAGATCAGTGAAATGACAGCCATTTCCAACCTAAAATATAAACTTAAAAAACACAGTGCTGCATATACTTTTAATATATAGCATATTTGGTAAGACTAAGAAAAAAATTAAATAAGCCCATTAGATGATTGAGAAGATAGCCGGTATTTGTTTCAGAGCAAGGGGAATACTTTAATCCACAGAAAATATCATTTGGTGTAGAATCACTTAATTGGACTCAATCTTTTTGGTCCTGACATAGTTTGTATATTACTGCTTTTGTATGAGTTAATTATTTTAGCAACAAAGTACCAAAAATTCTCTTTTTGCACACTCCCCCCCCAAAGCCTACAAACAAGATATAAAAGGTTATGGTAATTGTTATATATAAATGAATCAATCTCAAAACAGTTGCACCAACTCTGAAGGCAACTTGTAAAATCCATCAGCTTAAGCAGTATGTATCAAATGCTCCCCACAAGGGCTTGGTAATGTAAGACATTTCAGCACACTGCGGTTTACAGGAAGAAAAAAAATATTTTTCCTCACCACGTGTCATCAAGCCTTATGTATTAAATTGCCAATTCCTTTTAATGTGACGGCACAGCAAGCATCAGATTACAAACCCTGCCAGATTATGGAGCCTCTAGTGACTGGGGGAGAAGGGAGGATAAATTGCCAATTTTATGACCATTTACACATTAAAAAAAAAATATTAAATTTCTTATGCTTTTTTGAGATGATATATTCAAGAAAGTATTGTGAATAAACAAACATTTACCTGACCCTCCATGCAGTGTACACCAGCTCTATGCTTCAGAGTGGTTCAGTGGTCAATACATCATCACCAACACAGTGTATGTTAGGATGTCATAACGGAGCTGAAGCCAGTGACCCTAAACAGTCTAGATGTCACATGACCTAAGGAAGAAATACGTTAACTTTTACATAGCAATGTACTATATGGTCTCACAGCCTAGTAACTAGGAGCATACAGCACATACCATTAAAGATGATGGCATTTTCGGTAATTTATTTTAGTATGTTAAGGTGGATTCCCAACATATTTCCCACAACACAAAATAAATCCTATATTAAAAAACAAACAAACCCCCAGCTCATTAAGGTTACTAAGCCAAGAAATAAAAATTAGGAATTGCCAAAATTAAAGTTGCCTTGGTAACCTTAATTTCATTGCTTTTTGTGCATATACTCTATGCTCACTAAACAATAAACCAAGGCTGATGAAGCACTACCCATTCTACACACTGAATTTTGGAAGGATCATGTGGGGGAAAAAAAATTTGCATGTAGTCAAGTCAGGCAATTGAAGATTTTACACCACCCACACAGATGATGAGTGTTTGACTTTGCAACCTTTATTGTGAGTTTTCTTGAATTTTCTGCGGGTTTTTTTAAAAACACCTTTAACATGTTTTAGGCTTTATTTTTTGAAACAAAATGCCTGAGAAGTTAAAACATAAATTCCAGGTTTCACAATGGGGGATTATATCTAGGCCGACTGGCATTGCTGAAACCCTTAGATACACCAGAAACCTCTGATGCTTGAATTAATTGCCGTTTGAGTAATGACAGCAATAGTAAACAGAAGTGATTGTGTATCCTCTTATATTAATGCTGGTTTGCATATCTGAGACTCTAAATCTTTTCTGTCCACTTCAGGCCACCCTGTTGCCCAAGTTATTTTCATTCTCCAAGACTCCCCACTTTATTTTATTCTCTGCCCATTACGCCCTGTCCCACTGGCAGTTTTCCTAATGTGCCAAATTCTGCCTGAGTTCATCTGCTCATCTCGTCATGTCCTCTAGCAACTTCACACAGGTTTTCCAGCCCCGCTGTTTTTTAGTATCCAACTTTTTTTATATGCTCTCTATGAAAGAATTAAAAACCTTTGCAGCCAGGTACCAAAGAAAACTGGCAAGTTTTCTTAGTTCCTGTCCCTGCCTCCCTAAAACAGTCTGTCACAATTAGCTTCCTGCAGTAAGGTATCTTCACTGTTCATTGAATTTTTCAGAGGCTGTGAAGAGGCCAAGTCTCGACAGACTTTTGCATCAGGAGTGTGCCTTTCATCTATTCTAACAGAAGACACCATCTGAAAAATGCTTAGATCTTTCCTGCAAGCCATGAAATATTAGGGCTTTTTAAATAAAAGGTATCCACAGTCTTACTGGTTCCACTTGAAAACATTATGAACAGATAGTTTTCCCCCATATGCATTCCAGAAAATTGGTTGAATCATTTTGGTTGATCTGTTCTTAAAGGAAAAGTATCAGTTGGAGGCAAAGAACCAACATAAAAAATTTCAGCCAATACAAACAAAAAAGCAAAACAGGTAAGTGAAAACAGTATCTTTTAAATAAACAGCAACATTGGTAACAAAGCAGAGCATCTAGAGTAGTAAAAAAAAAGGCAGTGTCGTTTTATAACACTAAATATGAAGTAAGCAGTTAAAATATAGAAGAAGTGAGAGATATGCAGGTGTAGGTCAAATTCATTTAATTTCTGTTTTCAGAGGAAGGGGCCTTCTTTAACATAATCTTGGGGAAAGTATATTTATCAGCATGAAGAAGAACTGCTGCCAGAGATGTGTAGCCTCTACCACTATTAAAAAATAAATTACAAAATCAAATTTGATGGTTTAACTATGCATAGCTCCCGCCCCTCCTTTTGTTCACCCTGCAAGAGGCACAGCTGGATAGAGTCCTTTGAAAGTTGCTTTAGGATTCAAGAAGTGTTGAAGTCAGCTGTAAGAATTGCTTATTTGATGGAACTAGAGTAAATATATATTGATTGATAGGCTGCTATACATTTCCCCATCAGATTCATGCTGCGTCAGTTAACGAGATTAACCAAAGGTAGCAGTCAGAAATCACAGATGCAGGGACAAGTCTCTCCACATAGCTCTGTTTTAACCACAAATCTAGGACTTTGTAGGTCAAGGTCTGAGGAATTGGAACTGCTAACAGTATGAACTGCAACGTGCACTTTTGACATCATTAAATGTCAAAAAAGGGATCAGAAAGAGACCAAACTCTTGGTCTAAAAGACCTAAGTTGTAGATTGAACCTGCCTGGCTGTCATTCAGAGTATTACAATTCTGGTGTTATTCCAGTCACATTGACACAAAGCTGAAGTCAGAAAAGCTTCAGACATGAAGCAGCCTTCATCTTTAATGTTTTAAGCAGTACAGTAAACGCCCCCCCCTCCAAGTGAAGGGCCCAGTTTGATAACAAAAAAACAATAAAACTGTGAGTTAATAGAGTCTTCCTTGTATGAAGCAAGAATCTCTACCTATTGCAGATGGAAATAAAGCTCTCACTGAGTAAGATGAAGAAAGACTGATGAAAGAAGATAAACTTGCTGCTACTAACTTAACAAAGAAGAATTTCCTTTTAAACTGACAACTGGTTATCTAACCAAGCAATTATCAATTGCCAGAATAAGCCCATCAGAAACTCAAATCAAAATAAGCCGTATCCAAACCCCAAGCATCTCGTCCTGCATCCAGATTCCCTGCACTGAGTGTCATTGTCATCTTCTTTTCTCCTCTACCTACTTAACAGCTGCTCAGCTGCGAGCTCAATGCAGCTGCTACATCCCACCGCCACCAATAGCCTTTGAAGATGAGGATCCTTGTTTAGTGCCTTCAAGCAAGCTGTAGAAGTCCCTAATCCTCTTCCCCCCCTCAAACCACAGTTTCAATCTAGCTTAATGAATGGTAAAGCCTTCTTCCACCAATTAAAACAAATTTACTTGTACATACATTTGCATAAAGCAAATATTTAGCACTGGGAAATTCACCTCCACTCTATAAAAGCAGATAGAAATAAAACATTTAATCAGAAATCCAATACATCTTTACAGTATTTACAAAGCATTTGTTGCACTTTATAAACTAAGCAGTTTAAAAAAAAAAGTAAAAGAAAGAGACCTGTTGAAGGGAGGGAGGGGGGAATAAAAAAATTAAAAAAACCACCAAAAAAAAAATCCACCTACATTTGGAAAAAGTCTCTCACATTCAGTACATGGATGCAGTTTGAAACTGTAACCATGGTTGCGCAGATGCTTGTAGACCTTGATCCATTCCTTAGCCGTACTAAAAGCCACAGTTTGTTATAATAGGTTAAAATCACATTAAATGCATTAATTTAAAATAGAAGAAAGACATTTCTCCACGCTAAACAACTATTAACATAAAAGTTCAAACCTAATTCCTATGTAGTTTAAAGTGTTTTGTGCTTATTTAAGCAATATGAGGCTGAATTTGGCTGAGAAGCACAGTATTTCAGAAGAAAGAACAATTATTGATTATGAAGACACAATTTGACCATGGGGGCTCCGGCAGCAAAAGCAAGGTTAGCTCAGCTCTAAGGATGCTCAATGCACTCCCCTCCCCCAGTGTCAAAACAGAACAAAAAAACCCAGGATAACAAACAGTTCTCAAAGATTTCAAACCACAATTTAAAATGTTAGCAAAATATATACTTGCAGTGGAGTTATTTTGATGTGAATTATGGAGCATATGAAAAATATTGAAGGAACAGATACTTAGGAATCATCAGAATACCTAAGCTTCAAAGGATTATATTTAGGGGTGAGATGCAATACACTTTACTTGCCCATTTTCTTCTAAGCACATCTGCTGACAGTCTAAATTTGGTCTGGCGAAAGTAATGGTTGGAGGTTGCGGGTTTTGCATAGAGGATTTCCGTTGAATGGGAAATGCAATCAAGACCACTAGCCCTTTCCCGTGAAGGTTTTAATACAAAATCACTCAACTTTGTAGCAATTTCTGAACTCTTTTTCAAGGTTTAAGATTCAAAGACCAAAAATGAGGACAGGCAGCGTGATTAGTCTTTCAGGTCTTTTGCCTCTTTATCCCTGATGCTGACAGTAAACTGCCACTATACAGCCTATACAAATATTGACAACTGTTTTAATTTATACAAGTAAACAACAAATAACATCATGTAATCACATGCAGGAATCAGCACAACAAACTGATAGCTTTGTCCTATATAAGAAATTAAGAAGAAACTTCAGTATACTCCACCGAAGTATTTCAGCAATTTGTACTTTTCTTTTTCCCCACTAATCAGCTAGGCTTTCATGTAGCTTAAAAGTTATAACAAGCATACTGTAGCAAATAATGTTAGCAATTACAGCTAAAACTTGACGTTAAGTTAAACTCAGGCTTGGTGCTAAGAAGCTACAGTTAAAACTTGTTTCAAAAACTATCCCCATAGCAAGCTGGGAAGGCTCTCACAGCCGTTTTATCAGCTCCACAAGCATAACAAACTGGCAGACAACAGTTCTTTGTAATGTTATGGTAAAACTCCCTTTAAGGGACTGAAACATCTGAAAAACACTAGCAAGCTGAAGACTTCTCACAATTTCTTTAATGTTTCTTCTCCACCTTAAAGATGCATAGGAATTAGCATGGTGTTAAATAGATATTTAGAAAGGCTTCCTTTGCTCATATTTATCACAAAAAGGCAAGCAATATTCAAAACAACTGCAAAATATTTACAATTCTATAATATACAATTCCATAGTAGCTTAAAAAGTTATTATTTAACCTACTAATTTTTTCAACAGGAAACTAAAATTATGTAAACTTTCTGCATATGTTAACATAACAGTGAACAGTAAGTTATAATCTTCAAAATTCACTGCCCCCAGACGTAATGGAAATTGTCAAAAACGTATCCCAGAAAACCTAGTCCCAGGTTGTTTTCTCACTGCAGTTATAAGGGAGATACTTTTTGGGGGGGGGGGGGGGGGGGAATAAAAAAATCTAAATTACTCATTCAAGAGACAACTTATAATTTGTCAATACAAAACAGTTCTCCTTTCAGTTAAGAAAACATTGTTTGTATAAGCACTCATAAATCTTCTCACTGTTGTAGCCATCTCTATTTTGAAATACTGTGAATTTCAGCTGTCTTTCTATGTGCTCTCCTTCCCAACCTCTTAGAGAAAAAGTTGGGACTGGACTGCAGCCTTGTTGTCGACTTACAGTCACATACAATTAAGTGGAGACACTGCATATCGTTGTGAAGCAAGAAAGATACTCACTTTGCTTTTAGTTCTAAAAATGACCCTTTTTTAGTTACTTTTCCTGCAGAAATTCTGCAATAAGCTTCTATGAAAATTCTATCTCCTGCCCTTTTAAACAGTAAAAACTCAGAATAACCCCACCTATCCCAAAGACAAAGACGACTTCAAAATCAGACTGCACAACACATAATCTAATCTAAACCCTTCAAAACCAACACCACAACACAGACACAATGCCCAGTCTAGCTACTACGATCACAGGAAGCTCTGTTATTCCACATTCCCCAATGCTCCTAACATTGCCTTTTTTCTTATCTGACCACTGCCACAAACTCCAGAGCACTCCTGTGAGCCATCACCTTCTTTCACATAAATTACCTGGTTTTGCACTGGCCTTACTGAGCAATCAGAACCAAATCAGTAGTTCAACCCAGACAGCAAGAATTTGGTCTATATTAGCAGTAGCAGCCGTGGAAACCTTGCTAAAAATCAATCAATCACTGCAATCACCTGCAACACTGAATGGTTAAACAGAAAAATGCCCAGACTACCTTTGTACACAAATCTTTCAAGATTTTACCTACAGACTTGAAGGTAAGCACTAAATGCATGGCTTTATTGAGGGCAAAACACCTGCAATTAGTAACCGAAACATTTCTACGTTTTTCCCTCCTTGCTTAAATAAAGTACAATTGGTACAAAAGCAACATTCGTAGTCAATGCAAAGGAGAACAGGACTGGAATACTAGAATTGTGTCCTTTTGTGATTTAAGAGACACAGATTATGTTATTCTGCTCAGGTCCTCCATTTATAAACGGAGATAACATTTAGCTATTAGCAGCGTCACAAAACTTAGAGATAAAAAGCATTAACCTTGACAGAATTATCTTTACAGTAATGTTACAGAGCCATTAAAAAGCTAATAATATTGAAATTAGTGGAATATGATGGTCAACTACTCCTAGAAATACTCAGAGTCCACAATATAAAATGAGACAGGATTTTGCAGAATGAAGGAACACCATCAAAAAGTGAATATTTACAACACTTTTTAGAATTTTTGCAATTCGTATATTTTCTTTGTTTAAACCAGTATGTTTTACTGTAGCTTCTCATGATGGCATTTACAGCTCATACTGAAACTCTCTAATAAATTTTGCATTGACCAAATAAAGTTACATGCACAGAGAAGTTTATAGCTGAGGCAACTGTATGAGGAAAAAAAATAAAATTTGACTTACTGGTAAAATCACTGTGTGGACATTTAAACATATCCTGATAATGGCAAGCTACATGAAGATTTCTTATCCGCTCAGTTTCGAAAGATGATGAATGCATTGTGCACTGAAAGAGATGGGGTTTCCTCTGATGGCTGTCTCTGTGCACTTTCCAGGCACTTTGTGACATAAAACCACTTTCACAGATGAGGCACTGGTAGGTTTCTTTTATCCACTTGTGTGATTTTAAATGATTTCCCATTAAGTCCCACTCAGTCACGGGACAATAAACGCATTTAAAGCCACAATCCACATCATGACCATTTTCATGGATTTTATGAGTATCTTTCGACTTCATTGCTACATCGCACGCGTTGTGGAAACGCTGCGTTCTCTCAGAACCCAGCTTTAAAGCGCAAGCATCTTTCACAGGATGAGCTAACCCTTTACTGTCACATCTAGCTGTCTTCTGATTTTTGTAATTTTTTACACCTTGATTCAGCTTTAAGGGTTTTCATCTCCCCAGCTAAGGTCTGAGTTCTAACACTGGAAACACAACAGAGGCCAAGATGCACAGACTGGGCTGCTGCTTCATCTTTGCTCTTGGAATATGAAAGAGAAGTCGGCACTGCAGAACAGGGCTCCTCAAGCTGCAAATGAGCTGCTGCTTCTCCAAACAAGGTGTTCACTCACAGGAGTGAGAGGCGTGAGGATTATTGCTCTGACTGCTTGGGCTCATGTCACAACAGGGAGGACTCATATTTTGAAGTATCTGACACACAGGTAATAAAACAGATCTTTTTTGCACGATTTTCTTCGTTTTCTTTATTTTCTTGGTTAGCTTCATCTCCCATGCTATAAGACTCATTTTCATCTTGGTCCATTTTAGGACAGCCTGAAACTTGACACGCTGGATCTGTTTCATGCATATAAGCCAGGTGCGTCTTGATCTTACTTTTGATGCTGCTTGTCAACTGGCAGAGCTTGCACCTGTATGCCTCCGCCAGAAACATTTCCACCAGGCGGGCAACCTGGGCTTCAAAACCTTCAGGCACAGCAGCATACAACTGGGATGCTGCTGTTTCCTCAGGGCGATGCAGGTTCATTGATGCAACACATCGGTATTTGTATTTAAACTCATTCATCTTCCATAGTTGCTGGTAGGTAAATCTACAAAAGACAATAAACAAACCAGTTAAAATCCACTTTATGATTTCAAATGTCTTTTATCAAAACTCTAAGCCACAATGAAATCTAGATTCAGATTCCAGTCATAGGGATGTCTGTAGATCTTAAGACTATCTGAGAGGAGCGAGAGTTTTGCCAGGAGTAAAACGATGCCATAAATGATTACCCAAACCTCTCGTGGAAATTAAAAATGAACTACGGGCTAATAATATTATGTCATTCTTCGTGTTGAGTTTGTAGCAGTTCCCGCTAGGAAAACAGGCGGTATTAATCCCAAAGCAACGAACGCTGGTGAGAAACCTGCGCCGCTAATACACGGAGGCCTCCGGACGGCAACCATTTACCGGCCGTACCCTAACCGCAGCCCAGCGCCCCGTCGCCCCTTTCTGCGCAGCCCAGTGCAGTCGGACGGAGCCTGGAAACGCAAACTAAGCGGAGCGACGCC